TGATTAAAATCAGAACTGACCCTGAAGACATTATTTAAATATCATAGATGTTGAGTTCAGAAAGCACAGGCCCAGCCTCGTCAATGCTTTACAGCAGATTGAGATCAATTAGGAAGAAATAAGTTCTCATTTAACAACAACAACAACAAGTTCTCATTTACAGCACACAAATGGTTATTCTTTACAGTTAAATTACAAGTGAAGCTACAATTCTAAAATGTGGTATTCTTTCCTGCTGTCTATGAGTTTATAGAAATAGTGGCTGCATGTCGTTTTATCCTTTTAATCTACCAGTTGTACCCATTTCAACCATCTTTATAATCTTAAGGCTTTAAACATGTCAAAGAAGCTGATACTAGCCATTTTATTCACCTCATCCACAAAACAGCATGCATGAGCAAATAAATAGCTATATGGAAATTAGAAAACAAAGTTCAGTAAAAGGTGGGCCTCTATTCCAAAGGACACAAAAATATATTTAGAATAATAGCAACTTGTATAAATGTTAAAAGAACTTTTTTGGACTTAATTGCAACATTTGCCCTATTGACTTAGATGATCAGATTGTCATAAGATAACTTATGTCTTCAATAGTCTTTGGAATAATAATAACCCTGAAACATATCAATGAGCAACACGCAATTCATTATCATATGCTGTATTATGGGGTATTATGAAATACTCCATATCTGTATATTCCAAATATCTTGAAAATAATTTGCTGGACTTAGTGGCCCAAGATAACACAACTCAGGTTATCTTTACTGAATGAAATCAAGCCCCACATCCAAGGGGAATAGAGGAAGTCTCAACAGTCCAGTGTCTGGGGACTCTGGACTCAAGCAGTTCTGAGCATAAGTCCCAGGTCTGCCCTTCGGGTTGTGAGGACGGGGGTAATGAATGGTCCTCTCCACGTCTCAGTTTCCTCATCTTTAAAACGTGATGACAAAAATGTCTAAATCTCAAGGTTCTTTTAAAGATTTGATGAGCAAAGTATCTGGCACTAGCAATAGAATTTGGCTGCACCAACTATAGAATTAAGGAGCTCTGGTGGCATAGTGGTTGTGGTAGTTAAAGTTATGTGTCAACTTGGCTGGGCCCGGCTCTGAGTGGCTGGGCAGCTGGATGTAGTGATTCCCCAGGATGCGACTGCTGATCAACCCACGGTGGATTATGCTGTGAGAAGCTAAACAGCTGTCCTCGGGGGACAGCCTGCTTCCCCTATCTATGGGGAAGCTTTGAGGAAAGTCTAGAGCTTTTTGGCACAACTGGGTCCTGCATTTGGCCATGTCTCCATCTCAGTGGCCTGCCATGTTGCCTGTCAATCTTGGGACTGCTCCTGGGCTTGAACCAGT